CAACCCCCCCCCCCTTCCCCCCCCGGTGCGACGCGCCATCTCCTATTTGGAGAGTGGAATCCCAAGCCCCTGTCACCACTCTCTATTAAGCCTTCCCGTCCTGTTCCTCACGCATCTACAAAAAACCTTACCACGAACGGCTATCGATACGCCTCGGACCCCCGCCGCATCGGCACCGCCACCAGGTTCCCCACCGCAGGACAAACTTCGCTTATGTCCCCTCCCCACGCGACCACGTTTGACACAACGCATTGGTGGCCCTCACGCTCTAATACCCACCCCTGCAACAACCTGCTCAAAATCCGCAACCGCCTCACTCTCCCGATAACCCCCCCCCTCAACCATCCCCCTCGCTCGCGCTCCCCGAGTAACCCATCACTCACACTGCCCCCCCCCCCCCCCCCCCCCCCCCCNCTGCCCCCCCCCCCCCTCCGTCTGCCGGACCCACTTGCCTCGTGATTTAAAATAGTCGGCCGAACATCCCCAAGTCCACGAGCCAAACACACACACGTACCCTCGTGCGCCCATCATCACGATATTTTCTCTCGTAGACTCCCCCGCTCCAATTAAAGGTAGAGGAAGGCAAACACACGTTATAACCCGATCGCCCACCATAAAAGAACCGAACCGAACCGAACCAACCGTTTTCTGTCCCACCCCCGCCACCTTTACTCTCCGCACCACGTGTCCACGCCAACAAAGTATAAACCCGTCCCTCACTCCGAAACATCGATCTCATTGATAAAAATAAACCTTGCAAAATCCTGCACCCCCCGCCTCCCCTCCCCAATCTCACCCACCGATCAACCTTGCCATGGCCACCTCACCTCACAGTAGTAATACACTGAGCACACCTCCCTTACGCCTCTCATAAAATGCATCCCGCGCGTGAATTCCAGACTGTTTCGCCGCACAACGCTCGACGGAGGATGAGACAACCGTTTACAAAACACCCCTCATATCCTAAAAAAAAATACCAAAGCCAAAACAAAAATTAAGCGTCCCGGCAGCAGCCAACACGCCTGTGTGTAGTCTGGTAACACCACAAAACCCTCATACGTGCAGTGCAGTGCGTGTTCCCCTCCCCAATCTTGTTTCACCACCAAACCGAAATTAACCCCGCCGCAAAAGAGTTGTAGCCAGTTGTGAGCGGACACAAAATGACGCGAGACTGGCAAAACTACAAGCTACTAGCATGTAATACGCTCAACAAAAAGCATCCAGGTTGGAAAGCACGAAGTCCGATTTGCTCCAATTCGACCGAACCAATGCACATCCAAGCACGGAAAATCTCCCACTCCGTCCCCTGACTCAACAAGGTAACAACAAAACACGCAACTGCCCCCCCCCTCCTCCCTCTCTTACTCCCCCCCCCCCCCCCCCCCCCCCCCCCCCCCCCCCCCCCCCCCCCCCCCTCGCTTCTCAAGTGCAAGCGAGCCGCTTGATACGCGAGCATGGGTTCCTATGCTACAGAAGGCCATAAAAAAAAGCAAACCTTGGCAATCGTGTTTGCACGAAAATCCATCGGACAAATCTCACAAGTTGCCCAATGGGCTATCTGATAAGCTGCTTGTTGCGATCGGGGCAACCGCCGCAGGCAGCGGCGCCACGGCCGGCCTCATCGACAAATGAAAAATAAATAACAAAAAATAGAAAAAAAGAGCAAGGCGAAGATCACGCTTTTGAGTCCAATCTTCTCGCCCTCCCTCGATATGATATAACTCCATCGTTTGCACAAGAGCATCGTTCTATCGACATCGTTTGCACAAGCACATCGTTCTGGCTCCCTCCCGTGTCTTGTCGCCTCTCTTTGATATTGTCAAGAACAAGGAATCGCTGGCCGTGAAGCGCACGCAACGCGCGCATCCAACAACGTCCCATCCTCTTTCATGAAAGCTGACGATAGGCCCTACATTCTGT